GTCTGCTTCTCCCTCTGACCCTCCCCCCTCTCATGTACTCGCTCTCTCTCATTCTCTCTCTCTCAAATAAATAAATAAAATCTTTAAAAAAAAAATAAAATAAAATAAAACAAACACTTAGTAAGAGTTAAAAACAACTTAATCATTTTATAAAGTGGGAAAAGAAATGAATCAAGAATTTACAGTGATTATTTCTGAGTGATGGGATTATGAGTGGCTTTTGTTCTCTCATCACACTTCTCTGTACTGTTCACAGTTTCTGCTTCCTTTCTTTTTAAAGATTTATTTATTTATTTGAGAGAGAGAGAGTGCACATGCAAGTAGGGGAGGGGAACAGAGGGAGAGGGAGAATCTCAAGCAGACTCCCCGAACATGGAGCCCAATGTGGGGCTTGATCTCATGACCCTGAGATGATCATGACCTGAGCCACCCAGAAGCCCCTCGACTTCCTTTTAAAAGAATGCATTTGGGCTAGGACACGGGAAACTTCAGTTTAATTCTTACTCAACCAAAATGGGCTCTGAGACTTTGGTCAATTTGATTTCTCTATGTATTCATTTCTCTTGTACAACAGCAGGATTAGGATCCATAACTTTCATTATCTCTGCATGATTGTCTGTGTTCCTTTTTATAGTGTTGGCATGGGAGTATTAAATAAACACCACAACCTTTTAAATCTCAAATTGAACATTATCACACAAAACAAAATTAAAAAACAAAACAAGAGTTTTCCCTTTGTTCTCTCAATATTGTAGGTCTATAATTTGCTACCAGTAAAGAGTGTCCCTAGCGTTGGATATGGAGGTCCCCTGAACAAAGATGATGAGCAATGTATTGATGCAGAGGACATAATTCACAATGGAATCATTTACACACCAAAACGGATCCTGGATGATGATGATGTTTACAGTATTTTTGAGGTAATTCATCCTCCTGAAAATATAACCAAAACCGAGTTTTAAGTCTTTGTTAAAATGGAGAACACGTGGATTTCTAAGCTCTAGAATCTGATCTTGTGCCCCCTAAAACAAAGCTAAGATTAACAGAGAAATACTGAACCCTCAGAGGAATGGAGAACTTTGTATACATACACATATTCAATCACCAATTTATCTGGCTCTTTAAAGAACAAAGGGTGTACTTTTAGAGCCCACAACCTTAACCAAGTTGATCCCAAAGCCATTTACTACTGTCATATCCTCCTCTCAGCCTCTGTCAGAGATTCTCGTATGTGAGAATAACCAAACATTTTCCATAGTACCTCTGCTGTCCTTGGAAAGTGAATACCTTATTAGCAGCCTTATAGCAAGCAGCCTTTTGCACAATAAATACATATTGAATGAATAAATGACTGAATACACAAAGTATAATACTTTCATCATCTTCCGTACAGCAAAATTTCCAGAAAACTTGGAAGTAGCCTTTCAGAAGAAAAGATTTACAAAACTTGGGTAGTCACGCTAGCATTATGGGTCTATTAGATAAAATGTTTATCTTTGAGATTAACTGTAATGAGGCAGTGTTATGCAAGGAGAGTTTATCCGGTTTGTGAGATTAAATCTTATCACCACCGGAAGGACTAACCACTCTCTTTATACTTTGAGGAAAACATGTCATTCTTCTGCAGCGTGGCAGACAGCAATTTAAATCTCCCTCGTCTGGAGCCTCCAGAATCATCAATTAGTTGGTGGTAGGGATAGGAAGAGGACTTTTTAGGTTTACTAGCTAATTGTTTAATCTTTAAACATGTATTTCTGATGTCTTTCTCCCTATTCCATGTCATGTCACTACGGACAGTGTCCTGCCACTCAGGGCAGTGCCCGATGTCCTACAATTTCCCAGTACTCTGAGATAAGACAGCAAGTAGTATTTACCTGTGACTAGTATTGAAGAAAAAGACAGTTGGGACCAGGTGGGCTGTAGGAATCAGGCATGTCTGGTTTGGATGCAGAGATTCAAGATACTTAAAACAAGGAAGAGAGGAGGTAAGAATAAATTATGAAAGAGCTGAGTTGAGCATAGAAATTCAGGGAAAGGTATATATTTTCCAATAAAACATGAACAAAGCCAATTTTACTAAGACCGTGAAGAAAAATCTCCAATATGCAACCCTATAATTTCAAATGAAAAGAAACAAATTACTCTGTACAGTAAAGCCATGAGATACACACACACACACACACACACACACACATGCACACACGCACGTTATATTTGTTTGGGGGAGAAAAGAAAGGGAAGATAAATATCCTAGTGTAAAATATTTAGTTTCTTGGATGCAAAATATAAAGGGGCATCAGCTTATAGCACACAAAATTCAGAAATAGGAATCAGAAGACATGAGTTCTGATCCCAACTTCTCTTCACTAACTGGATGAACTGGACTTTCTATGAATCTGTTTTCCTATTTATAAAATAGCTCTGTTCCCTATTGTGTGGAATTTTTACAAGGGTCCTATGAGCTCTGTCCATAATAATATGAAAGTGTGATAATGTAGGGAAGGAAAAATTTTTCCTCTACCCTCCTTCAGGGTCTTCCGGCTGAACTAAGAATTAATTTACATGAGACAGATTAACTGGAGAAAAAAATAGTTTCATTACGTGTTCACAAAGGCCCAATAATGAAACCGAGACCTAAAGAAATGAACAAGCTCCTGGTTCTTATACTTTTTAGACAAAGACACAATGAATTTAGGAGAGATTGACAGGATAAGGAAAACAGATGTTTGGGAGCTTTAGGATTCTAAGTGGAATTTGGGTTGAGGTCGTAGATTAGAAAACAAAAATAACAGGGCTTGTTTCTACAGCTTTCTTGGCTTTAGAGTTTCCATCTCTGGTGATAAGGATTTTTTGTTGTTGTTCTTAGTACAGGGAGGGTATCTCTCATGTGGGAGATGTGTTTCCTGCTGTGAGGGGACAGAGGAGGCACTGAGTGTCCTTGCACCAGCTGTCTCCCGAATAACTTCAACTCAAAATAATCAATATGCCATGTGGGACATTTGGGGGCAGCCTGCCCTTGGCCCCTACAGTCCAAATGTAAGGCAATATTCCACTCTCAAGATTGGATTGCCAGTATGCTTTCATAGTTCTTTTTCGTCCAGTCTGCAGGATTAAATATTTTTACCAACTCAAAAATCCACAAGCCGCATTGTCAGCTGCTTCTGACGCATCCAGGAATGCCTATGCCCTATGCAGGAAGTAACGGTGAGATTTATTTGCCTGCTAGGATAATAGGGAAAAAAATGATGTTTTTCTGCATATAAATGTTGTGACTCTGGAGCATCTTCTTGGTAAGTTTTCTCCAAATAACATCTCCACCGCCCCCCAAAAATGGGAATTTTAAAGCAATTGTTGTTTCTTTCTTTTCTCTCTCTCTCTCTCTGAGATCAAAATTGACTGTCATTTTGTCCTAGCCTTCAATGATCTTGCTATTTCAAATCCTCCTTATCCAGGTGGTTTCAACAGCTACATTGGTCAGGATAAGACAGACTATACCGCAGCAACAAACAAACCCCCACATCTCAGTGACTAAGCGTATGACAGCTTTATTTTTTGCTCACACAAAACTGCTTTTGAGTCCAGTAGCTGTCCGGAGCAGCTCGTTACCAGTGAGCTGGGGATACCCGTTCTGCTTTCACCTTGTGACTCCATCTCCAGTGTGACATTGAAGGTCATTACCATGGGAAAGGAGTTGGTTCGCACATGACCTTTTTTGGTCAGCTGTGGAAAAGGCATATATCACATCTGCCCTTACTGCAAGGGAGGCTGAGAAATATGAAGGATCATACGGATATTTATCATCTGTGTCATATTCTTTTATAAAAATCAAAGTGATTTTGATATATTGGACAAAATAGAATAATCCAACTTTTAGCAAATATACTACTAGTCTCCTAGTGTGTTTCAAGTACACCTGGAAATGAGGGAAAGTTGAAAAGATTCTGAGTACTTTTTTCAATTGCTGTCAGACCTAGAGAAATTTCTCACTGCATGTTTGAATATCTTCTAATCCTACTTCCTAAAAAGAAATGTGCTGGTATAAAGTGTTTCTTAAAAATAAACACATACTTTAATACAGTAGAAATATTTTAATACAGTAGAAATTATTTACCTAAGAAGACAAAGAATAAAGTTCTAGTTGGCAACAGAGGAGTAAGTGAGAATATTCCCTCAACAGAAAGAAAACTCTGTGTACAAAAAAAAAAAAAAGAAAAGAAAAAGAAAATTCTGTGTACAGAAAAAAGAGTACTGTGCTAAGAGCAAGAGGACATGTTCTCATCACATTCCTGCATGGTAGGACATATGGAAATTTGAAAATTCACAGACTCACTTAAACTTTCATAGGTTCAGTTTCTTCCAATCTAAAATCAAAGTGACAACATCAAAGTTACTGAGTGTATGTGTGACTATAAAAGAAGAAAATAGAATTATGATTCCATTAATAGTATGTTTTTTAAAGAAATACTTGAAAAGTACTATTACATTATTTTCATATCCCTCTTAATACCAAGGGTGTGTTTTCTTTCCAATTCTAAGATAAAACATGTTCATAGAATGACCCAGAAAACCTGAAAACAGAGTACCATCATTACATTCCTTTTTTTAAAAAAGATTTATTTATTTGCAAGAGAGAGAGAGAGGTGTCCCATGCAAGCAGGGAAAGGGGCAGCGGGAGAGGGAGAAGCAGACTCCCCGCTGAGCATGGAGCCCAACACAGCTCCATCTCACAACCCTGAGATCACAACCTGAGCAGAATGATAACCAAGAGTTGGATGCTTAACCAATTGTGCCACCCAGGGACCCCCATCATCGCATTCTTATCCCACATATTTTGTAAGGCTCTAGCAAATTTTGCATTTGTATTTGTCACCTATCCATCCTTTCCTTTTCATTTCCACCTTAGTCTTGTGCCTCATTATTTCATAAGGAAATGACTTAAAAACCACCCTAACTTACCTTTCTTGCCTCCAGTCTTTCTCCACTTCAATCTGTCCTGGATACTGTGAAAGGCATTATCACACTTAAACATGGCTTTTATCATGTCACTTATTTCTCATAGATGGTCACTATTTCCAGAATTCATAGAATTACTGTCCTTAAGGTTTTAAAAAAGCATGTCCTATGATATTATTTTATATATATGTAAAATATATATATGTCACATTTCTATTTATATATTTATACCTGTGCTCCCTATCTTCTGATCTCTAGAGTATCACTTTTTTTTTTTAAATCAGGCTAACTCCTACCTTAACAGATCTAATTTATTTGTCCTAATCTTCATGGAGTTTTATTATATAATTACATCTACTATTTACTCAACACAGCCCTAAAATAGACATCCTACTTGATTTTCCCCGTGGAGCATCCCTTCTGACCTCTGCGTGTGTATTAACAGAGCCATTTCCATCAAATACCTCTTCCATTCTCCTCTGTTTCTCATCCTTCAATGATCATCTAAAAGTCTACTTTGGTGAAGGCTTCTTTGGCCAATCTGAAGTTCATTTTCTGTCCTTTATTGAGTCTCTGCTGTCTGTAACACATACTTTACTGTATCCTAGAGTTTCTGTCTGTATCTCAATCACCATAAAATAAAAAAGCATTTCTGAAATCCTCTTGCTGTAGCTCCTATTCATTCTTCTTGTTTGATCCTCACTGCAAATGAAGAATACGTGATCATTCTTTCAGCATAAAAAGAGTATTTGGTGTATTAAGTTACTCTTTATTCTTCCCGTTACCCATTGAATAATCAGCTTCTAGAGAGCTTCATTTGCTTTCATGTCTAGAGGAAAATACATTTACCTCCAGACTCTTTGAAGAAGCAATAGGATTAGCTTTCCTAGAGGACAAATAGATAAATGAACCAAGTCACAAGCTGGTAGATTAAGCTGTTCCAGTAATAAATATTCCCTGAGCAAACGACCTTATTCTACTCGAGAACTAGGCAACTAGAAATTCATGATAAAAATGAGGCTTACATTGGGCCCTTCATATTGTTCTGCCACAGCCCTTCCTCTAGCACGTGGTATTGAAGGACCAGTTTATCCAATGTTCACCAGAGAGAATCCTCCAGCTGTGGAAGTGAAAGAGACGGTCCGGAAGTACTTCCCTGAGACCTGGATCTGGGACTTGGTGCCACTCGAGTAAGTTGTGTGTTGCCCAGGATTTCGTTTAGGAAGAGATGTGACTCATCCTCCATGATTCTGATGTTGCTGAGCCTTGTAGTTCTGCTCCACTTCTTTCTGGTAAACATTTAGGTTCATAGTTCATTGATCTCATAGCTCAACAATGCAATTTTTTTTTTTCTAATTTGGTCCTGAGATATCTAAAATCATGCCAAGTGGGAAACTACCCTTGCCCCTAAAAGGAAAGGAAAACCTTTCAGAGACTTTGCTAGGAGTGCCAAATCTAGGATCAGGTTTAGTATTGACCATACTGGGTTACTAGGTTAGCATGCTCCACAATCAGCTTGGGTCCATGCTAAAAAAAGGATTGACTCACAAAGGCTTCCTCTTATTCTTTTCTCTAGTTCATCAGGTAGAAATGAGTTGGCAGTGAACGTCCCTGACACCATCACAGAGTGGAAGGCTAGCGCACTCTGCTTGTCTGGATCGACAGGGCTGGGCCTCTCCCCCGTCATCTCTCTTCAAGTGTTCCAGCCCTTCTTCCTGGAACTCATTCTCCCCTACTCTGTGGTGCGAGGAGAAGCCTTTACGCTCAAAGCCACCGTGTTCAACTATTTGTCCCATTGCATTCGGGTAAGGGCACTTCTCTGGGAGTGAGCAAAAGTGGAAGGGAGACGCACAGTTACCATTTAATATCCGGGTCTCCTAGGTAATCTCCCAGCAAATCATAGCTGAAGAATGATGTAGTCTAATTTGGGAATGGAATAGTTGCTAAGAGCAAAGCTCCCTGACTGGTCCAAGGTGGTAAGGTTATATTCATTTGGGGCTTTATTTTTTCTGTGTATTCCTAAATTCAGACATCATTTCCACCTGATTATTTTTCACTCTGACTAAAGCAAACATCTCTTCGTTGTGTTGGCACAAGCCTAAACCCTGGGAATATCTCAATTCTTGTCGGTTTTTCAGTTCCCTATTGGCAACATTAAACTACAAAGCGTTGGACAGGATTTACCTTGTTTGAACAATTTCTCAAAGCCTCTCAATTAGTTCCCATTGTCCCATGAAGCTCCTTGCCCCATCATTGTCCCTTGACCTGTGTTCTTTCTCAAACTTGTGCGTGGGTATGGGGGACAGGTCCGCGTGCAGCTGGAAGCCTTTCCTGACAAGTCAGCGGACCTAGTGAAAAACAATGAAGAAACTTCCTGTGTTTGTGGAAATAGGCAGAAAACTATGTCCTGGGCTGTGACCCCAAAGTCACTGGGTAAGTGGTAAAGTTGTTGACAAATCCTACTTCCTATGTTGTAATGATGTGCTTTCTGCTCTGATCCAGATACATGTTTTTTTCCTCCTCCTTCAACAATGATGCATTAAAAGAAAATTATATGCAATATAGGAGATACTTGAAAAGACAAACCATGCAATATAGAATACTGTTTAACTCATTAAGAATCTTATTCCCCAGGAAAGGTGAATTTCACAGCTACTGTGGAAGCCCTGCAGTCTCAGGAATTGTGTGGCAACGAGGAGCCAAGAGTCCCAGCACTTGGACGGAAGGATACCGTAATCAAGCCCTTATTAGTTGAGGTATGCCGATAAACTTTCTCTGAGTCTCAGAGCCCTTTTTATATTATATAGCATTATATAATATGTCTATGACAGTGACATTTCACTCCTCAAAATACAGATGTATCTACAACTCAGCTTCTTACTAACGTTTTCTCTCTACTTTAAAGTGATTGATTTTTTTTCCTATACACTCAGTATGACCTTCCTTTTTCACTTTTTTTTCAATATAAAGGCTGAAGGAATGGAAAAGGAAGAAACTTTCAACACACTCCTCTGTGCTTCAGGTAAGTGTCAAAAATAGACAAAATTCGCATGTTAAGCCACTTGCCAAAGTGTATAATTTTAGAATGCTCTTTGTGGTATGTTTTCCTCTGGAAAAGAAAATAGTGTACTCTCCCATGTGCAAATCTAACGATATTTGATTCAGAACAGTCTTTTCCTGATGAAGGCTTATAGAAGTTAAAAGACTTACCTAAAAGCTCCTGGCTAATAATGAGAACTAAAGTTGATGACCATAGAATAGGATTCTTTCCAATATCCCTGTGTTTTTCAAACTTCTTCCTAAACAATTTTTGAAGTATTAAAATATCTATGTGGCAATAGTACTATTTATTATTCAATTAATAGTTTAAAGGTACTCAAGTTTAATTTACTTGTGTAAATTACTTGAAGAAGAACTTCAGGTCACTAACATATATAGGAAACCAATATTTTACTAATACCATTAATATAATCATATAAAAATTACCATTAAAATACTCAACTCTGCACCATCTAGAATCATCTTGAGGACGATGTTCAGTGTGCAGATCTCTCCTCTCTAGAAGCATCCCTTCCCTTGATAATCTCATTTAGTAACAGAACTCAAATAACAACTTTGTACTGGAGACCACAAAATATACAACTTGGGTCCACACTGCTTTCCTAATTCAAACTCGTGTATTCAGTTGCCCATAATCATCTCCACTTACAGGCCTGTAGGCTAATAGGCATCTCAAACTAGCATGTTCAAAACTGCTCTTCTGCTGGTCCCCACAAACCCACTCCTCCTACAATTTTCTCCATCTCAGATGATGGAAATTCGGTTTTTTTACTTGCTTGAAATAAAAACTTTGGAGTCATCCTTTTCTATGTTCTTTCTCTTATACTCCACACCCAATCTACTTTCAAATCTAGTTGGTTCCACCTTCACATTATATCCAGAATCTTCCCACTTCTCACTATGTCCACTTCTACTCCAGTCTTGTCTCTCTTCGATCTTCTCAATAACCTCTTAACTGGTCTCCTGGTCATCTTTCCTTGATCCCCTACAGCAAGAGGAATCATTTAAAGCACATTTCAGATCATGTGCCTCTTCTGTTCAAATCTTCCAAGAGTTTCCCACATCCCTGAAAGTTAAAGCCTATGTCTCCAATGTCCCCTCCAAACCCTCGCTACTGCCATGACTTCATATCCTATTACTCTCTCCCTTACTCACCCTCTCTGGCCACACCGGACTCCTAGATTGGTCTTGCAACACAGCCACCATGCTCTAATCTCTGAAATCTTTTCACTTTTTGTTCCTTCTTCCTGGAAGTCTCTTCCCCCAGATATCTATAAATCTTACTCCTTGACATACGTAAGGTCTCCAGTCACCTCTGATTTTGTTTTATCAAAGAGGGGAACCTGCTTCCCACACCCTACACTTTCTGATTTGCTCTGTCTTACTAGCTCACCCATATAAACACTCTGCTTTAATTTTCTCTATAGAACTTATTAGCATCTATCATACTAAATATTTATTTGTTATCTTATTACTCCCATTAAAGTGAAAACTGGGAAGTCAGGAAATTTTTTTGAAAATTGTTTATCATTGCACTTAAAACAGAACTTGGCATATAGCACACACTTAACACATATTTATGACATGAATGTTATTTTCAAAAAACACTAATAATAAGTATTAACATAAACAATGAAGGGAAAGAAATAAGCATAACGTAAGGTATATGCTTATAAGGAAATCTGTAAAAATTTAGCACAAACATATATTAATATGAACTTCACTGCGAGATGAATCATGACTTTAGGAGAAAATCAGACTGCATCAAAGAAATTATAGAATGATCAAGAGACATGAGAGGTTGGAATTTGATCAAAAAGAGGAAAAATTTCAAAAAAATAGAATATTTCTCTCATTTTTTCCCTTCCCTTATATATATTTGTCTTCTTTCATTAGAAACTGGTGTATCTGAAAAGTTGTCACTAAAAGTTCCTTCAGATGTGGTTGAAGGATCTGCCAGGGCGACGTATTCGGTTTTGGGTGAGTCTGCCAGCCCAAGGCAAGCAGCTGTCCATCTCATTACTCTAGTGCATGCAGCCTCACCATCCACATTTAATGAAGACTTTGGCTGTAGGCATTGGATTGAGAGAAAGAGCGCTAAGCTAAGAATCTCATTGTATATTAGTGAGAAAGGGGGTTGAATAGATGTTGTGCTCCTTCTTATACCTTGGCATACTCGAAAGAGTAAGAAGGGTCACTTCTCTGTGCCCTCATCTTCAGAGATTGACTAGGTGGTGATGCTTCCTAATAGATTTGAAAACAGTTGGTTTTTACCAGACATGCGGTTCATCAGAAAAGATGTGCCCAGCCATTGTTTTTCCAGTCCTGGAATCATCGACTTTCTTTGTCCCACTTTTCTCTATCCTTTCTATTTCTTGTTTTTCTTCAGCTCTTATGCTTTCTTGTCCTTGCCTCCATACGTGATTTGACCTCTCATTTAGCTAGTAATCTATCTTCCTATCCCAACAGAAACCAGCTCTGCGTTCCTCTGATTTTTTTTAAGGATTTATTTATTTATTTGAGAGAGAGAGAAAGAGGGGGAGAGAGAGAGAAAGAGAGCGCCTGTGCTAGCGAGTAGAGGGAGGAGCAGGGCAGAGGGAGAGAATCCTTAAGCAGACTCCCTGCTGAGCACAGAGCCCAACGCAGGGCTCGATCCCATGACCCATGAGATAGATCATGACCTAAGCAGAAACCAAGAGTTGGACACTTGAATGACTGAGCCACCCGGGCACTCTTCCTCTGATTTTTTTAATGTCTTTCATTCCCCAGGTGACATATTAGGCTCTGCAATGCAAAATCTTCATAATCTTCTCCAGATGCCGTATGGTTGTGGAGAGCAAAATATGGTCCTTTTTGTCCCTAATATCTATGTTCTGAAATATCTGAATGAGACACAACAGCTGACAGAGACTATCAAGTCCAAAGCCATCAGCTACCTCATCAGTGGTGAGCAATAATCCCAAAAGGAGAAATCTTAATTGATTCCCCAAATATCTCTCTCAGTGAACTCAAATCAGCATCCCTTTAGTTAAGATTTCATAATCACTGTTGCTGTAACAACCAATGAAATGTCCCACTCTACTACCGAAAATTCAATGGCATTATCAAGCCTTGGAGACATCTTAATAAAATAGTAGTTTTCCTATGATTCCTATCCAAGTATTGAGGAAAAAACTGATTTATTCTCCAACGTCTCTGCTATTTCATAAATCTATGAATATTTCTTCTTCAGGGTACCAAAGGCAGTTGAATTATAAGCACAGTGATGGTTCATACAGCACCTTTGGGGATCATAGTGGCAGAAGTCAGGGAAACACTTGGTAAGATAATTATTTCCACATGCTTGCTATAGATCCATTCTATTCTGGAATTCTGGAAATAATTATTCTCTGATACCTGGAGTTCTTTCATGGAAATGTGTTATCCTTTAAAAATCCATATGTCTGTCATCACTACTGTGTGATCTCACCATTTCGTGTATGAATGCAGGCCGTCTGTGATAGCACAGTAAATAGCAGTAAAATAAAGATCCCCCCAAATGGAAATATAAGGCAGAAAGTGTTATAATGTGAAATGGTAGTAGGAGAAGCTTCTATACTGTGCATTAAGGGAAAGGAAGAGGGAAAAGACAGAAAGAGACTATGATGTTATTAAAATCATTCAGGAAATCGCAGTGTGGGTGATGGAAAGGTTCGGAGGCTCCAGCAAACATTTCGTGAGAAAAAAAAAAAAGTGGAAAGCATCAATTCAGGAGAAACGAATAAAGTTGAGATTTAAAAAAGGAATTCAGATATTTGATGAACAAACAAGAATATTTAGTGTGCAAGTGTCATTTCCCCACCAATTCTCCCCAACAATTTCCTCCCCTGGATGGCGAAGACCAATGTCTGAATGCAGTTGCCCAAAGTGAGCTTTAAATGTGAGATGGTCCTCATGTCTATCTCTCCTGTGCTGGACAGGCTCACTGCATTTGTGCTCAAGTCCTTTGCTCAAGCCCGGTTGCACATTTTTGTGGAGATGTCACACATCACCAATGCCCTCACCTGGCTCTCACAGAGACAGAAAGAAAATGGTTGTTTCCAGCGCTCCGGATCACTGCTAAATAATGCTATTAAGGTAGTGCCATTCATTTTGTTCTAGTCCCTGAAAATAGTGACATGTAATGAGGAGAAAATGCCTCCTGCTGATTCCTCACATCTTGGTGACATAGCTTTGAGGAAGGATGGTACTCTCTAAAGCTTCTGAAATCTGACAATAAATTAGTAGTTTTTTACTAAATTATAAAATACTGTGCAAAAAAAACCCCCCAATATATTACTAAAAGTGAGGGGAAATGACTTGGGACAGATTCGAGAATATGAGGGTGGAGGGGAAAGGGGGAAAAATCAATAATCTTGCACAAGGAAAGATGCTTTCTAGTGAAGAGTGTGCAGGGGGATAAGTAGAATGAGCCAGCTCTGGCTAATGAATATTGGAGTGTTTGAGTATCTCTGCCTCTGATCTTTACAGGGTGGGGTAGATGATGAACTGACGCTCTCTGCCTACATCACCATTGCTCTGCTGGAGATGCCACTACCTGTCACTGTATGTACCAGCACAGTCCCTGTAGCTCCCTCACAAATATAAGGAATACAAATCATGAAACTATGACTCTCTGAGGAAAATGAGTTGTGGTTTTCATGTTATTTAGTTTTGGTATATTTCACTAGACCATAAAAGACCAGATCCCTTTGGAAGCTGCAGAGGAAATGATCCTCTGGTCAGAACCCGTGATGTTACATGACACATTGTGCCCTTTAATCTGGTGCTAGCCTGTGGACAATTCATTAGCCTGCTTCTGCTATCTAAAGATCTCTTTTCATCTGCCTTATAGCACCCTGTTGTCCGCAATGCTCTGTTCTGCCTGGAAAATGCCTGGGGATCCATCTCAGAGGCCCGAGGAAGTCTTGTCTATACCAAGGCATTATTGGCCTATGCCTTTGCCCTAGCAGGAAACCAGGCCAAGCGAAGTGAGCTTCTTGAATCGTTGGACAAAGACGCTGTGAAAGAAGGTAAGGGCTGCTACTGCACAATTTACCTCCCAAATCACCAGTGATTGACGGGCGCCTGGGGGGCTCAGTGGGTTAAGGGTCTGCCTTCGCTTGGATCATGATCTCAGGGTCCTGGGAT